CCCCCCCCCCCCCCCCTCCGCGGCGCTCGGTGGTAGAGGCTGGGGGGACAGAGGGCGGAGGAGAGGTACGACAGGAGAGGGAGGAGGGCGAAGGGGAAGTTTATGGGGAATCGCTGACAGGGAATGGGGAGGCAGGCAGGCGCCGCGGGAGGCTGCAGGGAGAGCGCGGGGATTAATGTGTCTGGGTTGGGCTGGGAAGTGGCGGCACGAAAACTTCGTGTCTGCGGGCTGCGCCCGCCTAGGAGACAGCGGTCTGGGTCTGCCGGACAGACAGACGGGCGGGCGGACTGACCGCCTGTCGGACAGACTGCATGCCGGGCGGGCGGTGTCAGCTCGGGACACGCTGCGGGCTGGGCTGTGCCGTGCGGGGCCCGCTCGGTGTCTCCAAGGTGTCCCGAGGCCGCGCCGGGCCTGCCCCGGGGGACCCGGGCCGGTGGCCCGGCGCGCCCGGGAATAACCTTTCTGTGCGCATGGATGTGTGCTTTTAAATCCCGCCGAGAGCCCGGCGGCTTCCCAGGAGCAGCGGCCCGTCCTCGCCCGGGTCTGGTGCCGGGGCTGGCCAGCGCCTGCTGCCCCATCCATCCCCCGTGGGCTCTGCCGCTGGACCCGCCGGTGGCTGCTGGAAAGCCGGTGTCGATGCGAAATCCCGAAGTTCCGATTCTCGATTAATTTCAAATGTATTTTTTTCTTCAATTAAAAAAAAAAAAAAAAGAAAAGAAAATTATTTTGGGAAGTGGAAGGTCCGTCTTCAAAAGCCCAATAGTTCCTTAGTGGTGGATTAAGGTGTTGGAGCAAGCGGAGACGAGGGTCACAAAGTTGTTAAGGCACCTTCCCTACGAAGACAGGCTGGGAATGTTTGGGGCCGTTCTGCTTGGAAAAGAAAAAATTCTTGGAGACTCCATTCTGTTCAAAGCCAGGTTGGATAAGGCCTTTGAGCATCCTGATCTAGTGAGAGTTGTCCTCTCCCAGGAGAGCAGGGGTTGTAACTATGTGATCTTTAAGATTTCTTCCAACCCCTAACATTTTATGATTCTGTTATTACATCTCCTCTAGGGACAGGGAGGAAAGAGTGTCATTAATGATCCCTGGTGTGAGGTATTACCGTACCAAGTGTGTGTTTGTGCTTTTCTGTAGGACTCACCATGAACTATGAACTGATATATTTTTATGCTAATAACTTACACTTGGGTGATGCTTTAGGGGCTTTACAGTGTCTTCCACATGTAGTTTTTATGTTCAGTTCCCTTCTGGAGCATATAATATCTGCCCCATAGGGATAAAAAATTTAGTGCAAGACTTGAGCAGCAGTGCTCAAAGTCAGAAGAGGAGGACACAGAACTTGCCAGAACCTCATTCCCTAATACCTAGCCTTGAGTCTTCATCAGGAGACCATCTTTCCTCACTTATGTAGATAAGTGACCATTGTGATCTCCCTCGAACTTAGAAATAAAATGCAAATAGTGCTTAAGATGCTAAATGATAAAAAATTACGTCATAATTTTTTAGTCTCCCTTAACTTCTTCATGTTTATTGCTAATTATTTCAGGATTCTTTTCCTAATCTTGTTTAATAAAAAAATGGTGTTCAAAGTGATCTGTGCTTGACCTCATCCAAAATCAAGCTTTTATGATAATACTAATTGTGATCAGGTTAGTCTTTTGAAGCCTTTTCTTTAGCTCTTTAATAGGAAAATATAGATTACTTAAGAGTAAATCTAAAGTGAGGTTTTTGTTCCTTAAAGTTGGAAATATGCACATTTGTTGTAGGACTCTTCAACTTCCTGCCCTCACTTATTTTTACTAAGGTATTTATGTAGCACAAAGGTCTAGGACATCCTTGGAAGAAAATGCTTTTTTCTTGGTTTTTCTTCTATTAGAAATGATGAGTCTGTGTTTCTCCTTGAGGCATTTTGGAAAGCTAGAAGAGACAAAGATAGCCATTCATGTATTTCTCAGTCAACAATTGAGTAAAAAGTTTTCATAGAAAACCTACCTGGCTTTTCTCAAATGATATAAGGTAGCAAACCCAACTGTTCCCCCGCCCCTTACTTTGGAGATTACTTCCTGAGTGTTTTTTAAAAGTCTCGGCGTTGCTATGTTTGCTACTGGCTTTTGTGCCATGTGTTGAACAAGAGCTTACTGTCAGTGCAAACTAATGAATTTTCTTCTCAAGGCAGGGTGGCAGAAACCTTTCCCATAGATCCATGGCTCTATTTACATTTGTGTTCTGTTACACAGAGCATTGTATTGTGCACATGCTGGGTATCATGTATCTGCCACGGGTCTTGCCTTTCAGTTCTAGCTTATGTACATTTTGGAGACTGACGTTTTAAATACTGAAGCTAGACTAGTTTGGAAAATTAATTAAATGCTGGTACAATAGCACTTAGTATCATAGGTTAACTGCTACTGTTGTCAGTGCTTGCAATTACATTTGATCACTTTTTTTTCCTAGTTTCATTGTGACTTTCATCATGGTCACTTCCAACTATAACTCTGCTCAAAGATGTTTGAGAAAAGACTACTGACTAATGACTACTAAATTACTACCATGATAGAGATTCCTTGTCCCTTTTTTTTCTTGTTTCCTTCTCATTTATTTCTTCATTGTAAATAATCCTTTTACAGGAATTACACACATTTGTAAAGGAGCCCCCAAACTGGATTTATGTGTTCTGCAACTAATTTTTAGTCACTGTCCAGTGTCAACCTTTCCAATAACCTTTGTGGACTGAGTATAATGCTATTGTACAAAAAACTTCAGGGCTTTTTCATTTGTTTGGGTTTGTTGGGTTTTTTTTTTTAGTTGGGAAGTGGGATTTCTTGGTTTGTGTGGTCTGTTTGGGATCAGATTTTTGAGGGAGTGAGGATATTGTGGATTATTTCTTTGCATGAGCACAACACATTTTATGCATTGTTCATTTGGACTTGTACATACTAAGTATCCTAGGTGCAATTATCTCTCAGCAAGAGGTGAAACATGGTCACTTTCTAGCATATAATATAACCTTCCAGCACACGATTCAGTGAAAAGTGAGAGGAAATTTCATTCAAGAGGAACCTTGGTGGTACCTCTCCAGCTACTTCAGTTTTCATAATATTTGCCTAGTTTGCATCTCAATGAAGATAAAATGCCTTTGAGGTTATAGAAAAAGAACATTCATCATGGCCGACTTGCCTGTGACTGCACTTCTTTTTTTTATAAATTTTAATTAGGGGCTACTGCTTTTGGCACTTTCAGACTTGGAAGGCAGGTATATGTGCAGATTGGTTTGTGGTGTCCTCAGAATTCTGGGGCAAGAGTTTTAGTAAGCTAATGTGGAAGCTCTTGCTATGGATGCTCCCCAAAACAGGTCAAAACAAATAAAAAATAATACATAGTTCATAAGAAAACTTATTTAATTTTTAAAGTTTTTTGGTTATTATTTCTTCTTGCTGGTTGAACAGATAAAACAATAGGCAGAAGCAATACAGGGAAGGCAGAAAGAACATGGGGTGAATTCTTGAACCACAATTCACCAGTCCGCAAACAAAGGGCATGATGCCAGACAAGTTCAGCTGTAAAAGAGCCTTGTCTTGGGGGCAGGCTGTGATTGTTTGTGGACAGATGGCTGCTTACCAGTTCATAAAAATAACTTCTTGACTTCTGGATACCTTTTCTTCAACTGCCTTGTATTTACCTGAATTATGCCTCAGAAAAGACAAGTTCTCTACTGTTGAACAGGTTTTCTACAATTGAAAGTGATGCAGTTTTGAATATCGAGATGTTATGTTGTGTGTGGATAAAAGCAAAATGTTTTTTACATTGAGAAGGATGAGAGTGAGAGAGGGTGGTTAGCTTTGTGCTGCTAGATAAAGAACTTGCTTCTAGCCCTAAGAATCTGGTTGGCCATCTGCAGAGATGTGTGGAGAATTCTCGGTGTTTTTTTGACGTTTGGATAGCTTATTGGAAGCTTGGTGGAGTAGGCAGAGAGACTTTAAAAGTGGACCCCCAGGTTTGTCATTCCTACAGAGTAGCTTTTTGTGTGACAAGCAATGACAGCATTTATGTATAGCATATTTTGTTTCCTGTTTGAGAAGATGGAACTTTACCACAGGCAGACAACACTTCCTTCTAGCAACTAAGAAGGATGTGGGAACCATCAGAGAGAGGCCTCTGCCTATAGATCTCTTGCCACTGAGTTGAGTTGATGCCTAGACCCGACATTCTGGTTTCCACATTTCCTAATTGGGGTTCCCTTTCACTTTCTGTCATGCTTTACATCCTATCTGTCCTGTGTTCATATTCTGTCTTATTGTTTTGCTTTGGTCTTTAAAGCTTCATAACACATTACAGTAATATTGGAGTAGA